TAATATGTTCCTCAGAAATACAGCTTGTGTAGAATATTTAAAAATTCTTAGTTCATATCCTGGGTCTATAAATTGGCAGGCTCACTGACTAAGCATGAAGAAGTCTTTTTTTTTTTTCCTTGCCTTTCCTTCCATATTTCAAAAAAGAAAAGAAGAAATATTAGCTATTTTACATTAGTCTTCAATATGAGAGTAATTTTAAATGAGATTTTTCTCTCCCACTTCTCTCACCTATCCACCCTTTACTTTCTGATCTTTTTCTTTTGACTGAAATTAGTGTAAAAGTTGATTTGTTCTGAATTGCTTAGTATTTTTGCTGAGGAATAGTTACAGATTGATCCTAAACTTACTTCTTAAAGGTTATGTGCCCCCAAACAACTACTGTCATATTAAATAAAACTCTATACAATAAAAGAGTTTCATATGAAAATATGACACATTTTTCATAGCCTTTAATTTTGTTTGGTCAAGAAACATAGTAAAGCCAGGTGCAGTGGTGCATGCCTGTAATCCCAGAGACTCAGGAGGCTGAGATAGGAGGATCGTGTATTCAAAGCCAGCCTCAGCAATGGTGACTCAGTGAGACCCTGTCTCTAAATAAAATACAAAATATATATATATGGAATGTGGCTCAGTGGTTGAGTGCCCCTGAGTACCCAGTCACCAGCACCCACCCATCCCCTCCAATATAAAAAGAATCACAGAAAGGGAGAGCAAACTCATGTAGCTCTATTGGTGGATAACAGCCACTTATTTAAATAAACAGTTTATAGTGTGTTCTTTGCAATTTGATTTCCATACAGGTGAAAGGTTCTCAGTGAAAGTAAGCAATAAAATAATACTTTTTAAATGCAAACTTTGCTTATTTAGAAGTGTGATAAATTAAGCTCATTGTATGTCACTGTATTAACATGTTTATTCAAATATAAAGGAAAAAGCATTAAACTTTTAAATGCTTCTCATCAAAATTTAAAACATTTGTTTATGTTGCTTTTCTCCTAATTAAAAGCAATTGTTGTTTACTCACTCATCTCACAAATTAGCACATCATAATTAGATGTCATTTCAGAATAAAATCTTCACAACTTTCAGATTTTATTTATAACTTATTTAAAACACTTTTTTCAGCATAATTGCAAAATTCTTAAAACTGTTTAGGAAATGTAAATTAGGTATAATTGTACTAATGTTATATTAGCTTTGAAAAAAAAAAAACATGTTCTCCTTGTCCATAAACTAAAGGCCCTGTGACTTGATCTGTGCTGGACTACCATGCCAGCACATTCCCCCAATCCATTTTTATCTTTGTCATGTTAGTTGGATACTCCCAGGACTCTAGGACCACCTTTATTGTGACCTTCTGAGGTTTTGCCTGCCAACATGACTTCCTTTTGCTTTGGGTAGATATCTATGTCCCCTTTAGGAAATAGTCCCCACTTTTAGTTCATATGGATTATGATGTCTTTGGGTTCCCCAGACACTGGCTATATGTTACAGTCTTATTAAGAAGTCCATTCGCAGGGAACAGGATTAAGGGACAAGAGGGCAGAAAAGAGAGCCAGTGTGAGAATGTGCTATCAAGCTGTCATCCAAGAAGCCACTGAAAGATGTTCTTAGCAGATTTTCTCTTAAGAGAATAAAAGGAAGAATTTATACTTCAGCTTCCATCTCTCTTTGGTTAAAGATTTTTCTCAAGTTATGCAGAAAATGACAAGTCAAAGATTCAAATGCAGTCAGGTTTGCTCAAGAGCCCAAACCCTTAGCCATTCTATATTGCTCTTACAAATGTTAGTCAATAACGAGAGCTAAGAGTAAACTAGAAGCAATGATACAGAGTAGTTAGTATTCTAGGGTTACAGGAGGAATGCTTCTTTGAGGCGATATTTGAGTAAAGACCCAAAGGGGAAGAGTATTCCAGACAATGCAAAGAACCTGAGATAATGTTTGAGGAACTATGAGGCACAAAATTACAGATACAGTGTGAATTGTGGGGAGAACAACAGGAGGCAATATTGGAGAGAAAGAAGAGAACGAAGAGGTGTGGATCACACAAGGGCCTTGTTTKTTTTTGTTTGTTTTTGAGACAGAGTCTCACCAAGTAGCTCAGGCTGGCCTCAAAACTGAGATCCTTCTGCCTTAGCCTCATGAATAGCTGGAATAACAGGCATGTGCCACCATATCTGGCTAACATGCTGGGCCTTGTAGGGCATTATAAGACTTTTGATTCTTAATCTGAGACGGGAAAGCATTGGAGGCTTTGAGTCAGAGGAGGAATGTGCTCTGACTCAGTCTTAATAGGATCTTGTGATAATAGAGGGAAAGAGACTGATGGAGGTAAGAATAAGTGGGTGGGAGCCTTTTGCAATCTCTGTTGGAGAGAAAATTGTGCCTTTGACAAGGGTGATAGAGTAGGGGTAGATGAAAAGGAATGGAACCAGGTTTTGCTAATGGATGAAATTAGAAATTAGTACAAAAGGTCCTATGTTGGGAAATTTAGAGACACTTTAACTTGTGAAACAAAAAATAAATCATAATGAAATTTTAAAAGACATATATTTAGAACCAAAGCAAAAAATGTGGGTTGAGAAGTATTCTTGAAGCAAAGTTCTAATTCTAAATGTTTGTATTAAAAAAGAAGGTCTCTCTCTCTCTCTCTCTCTCTCTCTCTCTCTCTCTCTCTCTCTCTTTAAAAAAAGGAGGGAAGATAAAAATTAATGAGATAAGCATTCAATTTAAGGAATTAGAAAAATAATGGTAAAATGAGCTGTAAGAATTGGAAGAAGAAAGAAAATTATAAGAGCAGAGAATGATATAATAGATACTATCTATATAATAGAATCATCAAAACAAAAGTCAGTTATTTGAAAATATTAATAAAGTGAATTTATCCAGTAAAACTGATTAAAGAAAAAGAGTAAATAATGTCAAAAATAAAAGAAAGATATAAGTATGGATGCTGAGAGATTAAGAAGAGATTTATGATTATAAATAACTTTCTGCTAATAAACATAATAATGTAGATAAGTGAAATAATCAATTCTTGGGCAAAAGTAATGTATTAAAAARGAGCCAAGAAGAGTCAGGGAGCCTAAATAGTCCAATAACCATAGAAAAAAATAGAATCAGTAGTAGCTAAAATCTCCCAGAAAAGAACACTCTTAACCTAACGATTTTATTGATCGATTCTACCAAACATGTTTTTAAAAATTCAGAATACAAAAAGAGAAGCAACATTGTCCTACTCATTCTGTAAGGCTAGAATAACACTGATACCAAACYTTGATGAGGATAGAATAAGAAAACTACATGTTAACTTTATTTATGAATGTATAAATGAAAATCCTGAAAACAAATATTGCAAATTGAATTCTGCAATCTATAAAAATGATAATACATCATTTGGATTCATCCAGGAATGTACCATTAGTTTAAACTTTGAAAACCTAATTAATGTAATTAATACAAAGCTGATGAAAGTATAAGTAATCATATGAGCACAGTAAATTTAAGGAAAAAGAGCATTATATGATTCAATGCACAGTGTGGAAAAAACATTTTTGTAGAGCTGGGGGTAAAACCCAGGACTTAATATGTGCTGGGCCAGCACTCTGCCACTGACTGAGACCTCCAGCCCTGAAAGAAAACCCTTAAAAATATGCAATTTTCTTAACCTAATATACAGAATACATATTCCAAACAGACTTTTTAAAAAACAAAAGAAGCTGATTCATAAATATATATAGGCAATAGCATGGGCTCCACAAGAGCCAATATCCAAAGGAGAATAACAAGGTAGAAGTACTTGACCTTCTAGACATGAAAACTTACTACATCTAAAACTGTTGTAATCAAGGCATTTGATACTGCATAGGGGTTGATAAATAGACATACTAGAGAGATTGGAACACAGAAACAGACTTACTCTTATAGGAAGTTATGGTATTTCTCTACTACCATTCCCCATATTGCATTAACAGGAGATGCTACAGATAATTTTCTATGCAGGTGGAAGGAAGCTACGAATGAATTAACTTGGACTAGCCATGCCTAGCATCATCTCTGATCACTCTTTCCCTCATTTACTCTTCTTGTGGGARTGTCTGTGAACAGCAATACTATCTACAGTTGCTTATTAAACTATGCTCTGGGAGCCATCCTTGCTTTCTTTTATTGCCCAAGCATCATGTTCTATTAATTTTAAATTTGATAGATACACTTTTTATCCCATCCTTTACTGAACTAGGCTTTAGGACTGTTCAAAGGCAATACTTAGTTAGGGTCTTATGTGGTTCTACAGCACAGAGTATGGAACTCTGTCACTATTATACTTATACTATTATAATTGCCAGTTTATTTCCATGTAAGTTTCTATAATTCCCCAAAGTTCTGAAAGTATAACTTTAAGTAAATCCCTTAAGGGAGAGTATCCTACCTGGTTTGTAGTTTTATTGTCAGGGCCTAGTACTATCCCTGGAATATAGTTAATAATCAATAAACATTTGATAATATACTGATTCATAAATAAATGGATATATGGATGAAGAGATAGAAAGTAAGTGAATTCCAAAACAATTCATCTAAAATGTATTTAAGGTATTTAATCATATTATTCTGCTTTATTAAAAAATTCTTTCTTTATAATCTTTTTGCCAAATCTGGTTTAAGATGATATTATTCCAGGCTATCATAATACCACTTTTTGCACATTCTTTTCTTTACATTGATTAAAGATACTTCATGATGAGGAAAAAAAACTCCAAGTTCTACTTTTCTACAATGGTGTTTCTGTCAAATGGAATAAATCATCCACAAATCTTACATAAATTTTTAAAATCATTAATTTTCATCTTTATGAAAATAAAATGTTAATTAGAATTATCTGGAATAGCCAAGGGGAAGGGGCCCAATAAATATTTGCTGAATAAATGAAAGTTTAAATATATAATTCTAGAAGTGACTCTTTTTATTTATTACCACATTTTTATAATTTCTTTCTAAAGGACTTTGATTGGCCAATAGAAGGACTGCTTATTCCCAACAGCCCTCCCATGAAGAAACCCATCCAGAAGACACCAGAGCAGTATGTCCCTATGAGACTCAGAGTTTTGAGGAACGGAGATAAGAATAAAAGCAGATCCCTTGTTACAATTTGTCCAGACATCTCATCTAAAACACAGTAAGAATGACTTGCTCATCATTTTCATTAAATATGCTTTCTAGTTTCTATAGATTTTTGTCTTCTTTATTATGAGTGTTTTTCTGGGGGTAATTATGTATTTATTTAGAAAGAGTGCTCCTAGTTGATATTTAAAGGTGAAAACAGATACAAAAATTCATTTAGTTGCTATATCAGGAAATTAATTCCATCTCTGCTGATATAGGCTAGGMACAGGAGAAAATAATGAATTAGAAATGAGTATCTTTGATTTAAAAAAGGTTCTATGAGAAATGTCTGTTTGGAATTAGCACTTTTGCTTGAGTTTTATTAACATATGTTGATATAACTGAACTTACAAATTGCTTCTTAATTATAACTTTGTAATTCTTCATTTAAGTTACTATTATACATAATTATTCATATTTATACCTTTGAAATACATAATGAACAAATACAGTTCTCAAAAGTATAGCTTTATATAACATATTCTTTCCTCTGGATATTTTAAAAGTTTATCTTCCTAGAAAAGCATTGATTTTACCTTATGATTGAAATAAAATCTTTCTAAACAGTCAATGTTTTTCTAACATTGGTGAAAAATCACCTGTTATATTTTTTATTACATTTTATGAAAAAGTAATCATAGGTCATTGAGAAGCTTTGATGTAAAGAATGAGTTAAACACATTGTTTCCCATATAATTACCAACAATATTACCTCTTGACCTTTCTTTTGAAACATTTAGGATATTTGAAACTGCCGATAATGGTTTAATATTACTTTCTTCACATTGATTAAATATACTTCATACATCGCTGAACAATGAGTAACATTCAGATTGGCTGTCCACTGAACTGCCTGTAAAGATGATAAAGTAAAAAATTAATCTTCAAAGTAAAGTCAAGCCTGAAATTGAAATCTTTGACGCATACATTTCATAATTAGCTCATTCTGCTACATGTAAAATGTGAGGTTAATGCCTTTAAAAAAGTGTCTGACCTTTTTCCTAAAAGCCCAAAGTTAATACATGATTTCTTATTTATTTATTTTTATTCTAATCTTTAATTGTGGCTCAAAATTATATACAGGTAAGATCACGTTAATGTTTTAAAATGCAGGTTCAGTCAGGGAATCCAAACATTTTGAGAGACTGGCAAATTTGGGCAATTATTCTGGCAAAGAGTATATGAAACTGTCCATTGTCTGACATTTATTTTTATGGAATAGTGTGTCCTGGTTCATCAAGTATTCGGACATTATTTACTTTTTCATGAATTATATATTCCCGAGAAATTAAAATACATTGACATGCACTTGACACTAAAATTGTACTAAATATTATGTAATCTTTCTCTGTTGGCTCAAAAGTATTCTACAGGATCATCAATAGCATCCCTCCCCCCACCTCTGCTGTATATAAACACTGGTTAACAAAAGGTTTACATGGAAAGAGTCTTGGCTAATACTGCAGAATGGCCATGTCCACCTGCTGAAGGGTCTGTTTACATTGTGTGAATCGCATTCCAGTGTCATCCAAGATAGAAACTCTGCAATGATGCTTTTAACAAATACAAGCTACATATCTTGCAGAAGAAATAAATTCGTTGATATACATGGATACATTCCTTGAGTTAACCTGAAACTTAGTTATAAAAAGAAAGGGGTTCCATTGGTTAGTGCCTTTACAAGTAAAATCATGAGAGAAAGATGAAATAAAATCTAGTTTAATTAAACCCAGCTCTGGTTCTGCTATCCTTTGGTTATTTAATAACTCCCTGTAGACAGTTTTGAGGGTTTCTCTTTGTTATTGTTTCCTCCATCTGCAAAACCAAATGAAGATCAAATGGTATTATTTTTCACTTAATTGATATTATTCTTAGTGACACAATCTTCTCAATTAATCTTGTTAGTGGCTCTAAGAATATATAACTTAAAAACTGATAATTTTTTTGTCAGAGGCAAATTTTATTTTTTAGAATTGTATTTTAAGCAAAGAAAATTTTATAAGTGATACTTTAAGGAATAATAAGAAGAGAGGCTCAATATAAAGCTCTATAGTAAACTTTATATTTCAAATCATTTCAATGTACATAGTAATTATTAATAAATTGTGACCTCTGCACTTACTCAGGCTCCTTACTATAGCTTTTAAGGCCTTTTATTAAAAAAATACTTCTATATTTCTCTAGTTATAATTCTTACCAACACTTCCTCCAGTCCCACTTCAAAACCCCACACTGCTCAACACCTCCCATCTCCATAATAAGAAGCATATTCTGACGATAAGTTTGGACATTTCTAGATGTTAACCCTGAACTCCACATTGCATTGCTTCCCACTGAGATTTTTGTAGCTGCTGTACACTCTGTTGCACCAGTTGTCCTGGCCTCCTCCCAGCCTCATAACCACCATTCTGTTTCATACTTACCTGCAATGCCTCAATCTATGAGATGGAAATAGGAATGGTATGTTATTCATCGGTATATGTGCTGTCTGCTATGGAACAGTGTGTTCTAGCTAATCGAGGTATTACAGAGTTACTTTAATTTTATTATCAAAGACCTACAGTACAGACTCTGTCTCTAAATAAAATACAAAAATAGGGCTAGGGATGTGGTTCAGTAGTTGAGTGTCCCTGAGTTCAATCCCTAAACCAAAAAAAAAAAAAAGGGGGGGGGGAACGCTACAGTAAGCCTCAAGTCAGTGCTTATTGAATGAATGGATGAATCATTACATTTGATCACTATTATTTCATTTAATAAAGAGATTCTAAAAGTGCAAGGAATGTTTTTCTAACTTGAAAATTGGAATAATACCACTTATGCATCTGTTTGTGATCATGATTATTTTTCTTTTAAAATAATGTTTCGGTTTGGGACTGGGGAACATAGCYCAAAGGTAGAGCACTTGTCTAGCATGTATAAGACTGAGTTCAGTCCACAGTAGTGCAAACAACACACAAAAGTTTAGGGTTAGATTAATAATAGAACCATATGTGAATAAAACATAGACAAAATTAATGTAATCTCTGCGTTTTTTCAAAGGTGACAAATTTACATCTCACAGTGTTCAATTTTATTGGATTTAAAAATTTTTTATTTGTTTTAAGTAGTTATACTTGACAGTAGAATGCATTTATGCACTTCGATATATCATACATAGATAGGATATAATCTCTCATTTTTCTTAGTTTGCATGTTGCATAATCATATTGGTCATGCAGTCACATATATACATACAGTAATAATGTCTGTTTCATCCTTCTATCTTTCCTATCCCCACATCCCCTCCTATCTCCTCCCATCACTTCCCTCTACCTAATCTAAGGTGACACTATTCTTCCCTAGTGCCTCCTGCCTTATTGTGAATTAGCATCTGCATATTAGAGAAAACATTTGGCCTTTGGTTTTGTGGGATTGGCTTATTTTGCTTAGCATGATATTCTCTAACTCCAACYATTTACTGGCAAATGCCATAATTTCACTCTTCTTTAAAGCTGAGTCATATTCCATTGAGTACATATACCACATTTTCTTTATCCATTCATCCATTGAGGGACACCTAGGTTGGTTCCATAGTMTAGCTATTGTAAATTGAGCTGCTATAAACATTGATGTGGCTGCGTCACTATAGTATGCTGATTTTRAGTCCTTTGGGTATAAACAAAGGAGTGGGATAGCTGGGTCAAATGGTGGAAGAGGACTAGAATATTGCAAATTAATTTTCTTATGTATAATACTCATAGTATACTTGTTTATAAAACAACATGTTATTATTTAATATGTAGTATGAAGCTTAGTATTTAATTGTATTAGTGGAAATTCTTTGTTTGAAAGAAAGATAAGACTGTTTTGGRGTAAATCATGGTAAATTAAGACCTCCTAATTTTTCATATGAGAGATAATTAATAATGCTAATACAATCAAATCTTGAATAATTTGTTTCAGAAATGTTAATCCTGAAAGGAAAGAGAAAATCTGTGTTACTAAGAATTCTGTGACAGAAATAAATGAGACTGAATTTCATCATCTTTTGGAGAGGTAAATGCTTAATATGCTAAATGTAAAGGCGTTTTCCACTCAAATGCCTGAATTATTGTGTACAACATTAACACAAAGTACATTTGTATCTACATAAGAAACAAATTGTTAATTATAAGGGTCTTGCTAAGCTGCCTGTACTGGTCTTGAACTTGGGATCCTCCCACCTCAGTCACCCGAGTGGCTGGGGTTATGGGGTATGCCATCTTCCTCACTGCATTACTTTTCACATGCCAGGTGCTTTATAGTTTTAGCATATTTATCTGTAAAACAGCCTCAGGAGATAGGTACTACAGTATCCATCTGTAGTGTAAAATGTCTCAGAGTAACAGACGTAGAACTTTTTCTTGATGGCTTCTGCTTCTTGCAGGCAACCTGTAGTATTAGAAAACCCACTGGGTCAAAGGACAAGGGGTTTAATATTAAGCCCTACTTTGCTATTAACTACCTRGAAGCCTTCAGCAAAGCCTTGCCCTTCATTTACTACAAATGAAGCAAATGAAGCTCTAAGAAGTTAAGTAATTTTTTCAAGGTTACCCAGCCAGAATGTGAGAGGGATAGAATTTGAGCGCAGACAATCTGATTTCAGAGCCCACATTCCTTTTCAGGAACTTAAAATCCAGTTATTTTCTTTTCCTTTTCCCACTCATATTGGCTAGCATGTGAAGTAGACAGAAGAGTTAAATACAGTGTGAAACTCTTTGTCCCAATCCTCTTTAACCCACCCACATATGCCAAACTCAACATTAAAACTAGGGTTACACAACAGAGAGAAGGAAACATCCACTAACCACCCATTCCTTCTATTCTCTCAAACGTTGTCCTAAAACAAGATATCCCAGACTCTAAACAGTTCCCCTAGGAAAATGTGAGTGGGAGCAGAAGTGATGTTGGTAGCTCTTCTTAGACCATATTGTAACTGCTTGAACCTGCAAAGATGTCCGATGTGGAGRAAGTTAGAAGGAATTGGGTTGAGTCTCTGGCTGTCATCCAAACAGAAGCATGGAGATTTGTGACCCTGACTTGATGCTCTTGTGGTCCCCTTCTGCTCCTTCTACCTCACCAACTCTTATGGATGAGGAACACGGCCCAGTCTCCACTGGTCTATCAGCTTTCAGAATTAGGGCACAGGACATAAAGACTTAATTCTCACTGGTTTATTTCCTTCTGAGGCAGTCTCAAAAAAATAGAGGGCCTAGAATGTTTTCTCTAATATGCAGATGCTATTCACAATAAGGCAGGGGACACTAGGGAAGAATAGCATTACTTTAGATTAGGTAGAGGGAAGTGAAGAGAGAGGAGGGGAGGGAATATGGGGATAGGAAGAATAGCAGAATGAAACAGACAGTATTACTGTATGTATATATGTGACTGTGTGACCAATATGATTCTGCAACATGTACACTCAGAAAAATGAGAGATTATATCCTATCTATGTACGATATATCAAAGTACATAAATGCATTCTACGGTCATGTATAACTTATTAAAACAAATTTTTAAAAAGGGCCCAATTATGTACTTAATTGCTTCATCTCAATGAAGRTAATAAAATTTAAGCATGTTCTTTATTCAGCTGAGTCTTACTGATGAGCATGAAGATACTGCTAACTCACTTGCTATAAACAGTACATTCTAACATCAAATATATTTAGCAAGAACCTTTCACTTTCCTCCTTCTAAAGATAGGGTCACCACGGGAATATCCTTAGGAAATGCAGAATCACTCTCCTTAACTCTACTCCTTCCCCATAATTCCTACCTCTTTATCCCTAATATAAACTGGCTACCTAGGGTCCAGCCTCTCCCACTACCAGTCCATTTTCTAACATTTTGGCAGTTAACCTTCTAGAAGGTAAATCTGTAATACCATGCATTTTCTCTAATATCTCCAGTGGCCTCCTGTTTGAGACAGAAGCCAGATTCTATCCAGGATCCTGAGTGTTTTAAATTAATTCCTGTTTTCTTTTTCAGTTTCATCTGGCCCCTCCTCCAGTCCATACACTCAGCTGTAGCTTAGCCCCTTATGAACTCCTATTCACCCTTTGAAGTCCTACTCAAATGTCACTTCCATAGATTCATTGTTTTCCCTCTGTGTTCTTTCAGTGCACTGGCAGCTACAATGCCACACTATAAGTCTGTTGCCAACTAGGTAGGTAGCTCTTCAGGGAGCCCGGTGCCATTTATTTCAATACCCACAGGGCATACCCAGCTCTTGTTTGAGAGGGAAAGAAATCAATATTTAGTGTGTAGCCAAGTCAAACATTTCTATTTCAAAGAGATCATTTCCAGTGAAGGAAGCTAAGGGACTGCTTGGTGACTGATGTGCCTTTTGCAATCTTGGAGAAAGATCAAAGTTTCAACAGTAAAAGCCAAGGAAGGTGTTTTAGAGAGAAGGAATAGCATGAACCCGAGGCGGATGGAAAGATGTAGGGCCCACTGAGGAATGAAGTCAGTAAGGATATGTCTACCTATTTGTTGGTCATGCCTGCCACTGTGCTGAGCACTTTTCAAATCATGTTTGAATCCTCACAACAATCCTGAAGATAAGAAATTTAGGCTGAGAAAGGTTAAAGACTTTCCCCCAAGCATCACAACTTGGATAGGGGAAATGAAGACTCAAAAGGATATGAAGACTCTAGAACCTAGCTCTAAACTAGCTCAGCCCTGCAGACAGAGTTGTCAACACAACCCAGACCTTGATTTATTTTCTCTCTCTATTGCTGGAAGCATTCTGTGTTCAAGGTCAGTTTTTATATTTTTTTTATTACAGGTGCACTGAAATTTTAAAATTACCTTCTGCAGCTCGGAGATTATTCAATGAAAAGGGCATGGAAATCTTTTCCCTAAAGGACCTGCAAAGAGATGAACTGGTAAACAAGTGGATTTGAAACAAAGTGTTACTATATGAATGCCACCAAAGGAAAAGTATCCTTCATTGGAAGACTTCAGATGCTTAGCATTGTTATTTTCTCTCAGGATTATCCTAACTCAGCAACCATCATAAAGTTATACTAATAACTAGCATCTTTGAGAACTTCCTGTGTGTTCATTTAGTGTTCATTACTACCCTTTGAGATGGAGGCTTCTGTTATCCCCACTAAAAACTGAAGAAACCAGAGAAGGCCATATTACCAACCACTTGTGATTTATCTCTCTGACTTTTAAGGAAATAGATCCTTTACTCTTTTTGAGGCATATGCAATATAGTTGTTTAATGATTTCTTAATAATAATGTCAATTTTTCAGGAAAAATATTATATCCAGTTTTTCATACACTCTATTTGGGAGGTTAGAGAAAGTTGAGAAATGGAAGGACTTTAGCAGCCTAGTCTTTTCTCCCATTTTTGAATTCAAGGCATCAGCTCGGAATAAAACAAAAACAAAAACAAAAATCTGCCCTAACTAATGCCTGAAATTCTTTACACTGAGAACAAAGATTACATAATATTGTCAGAACTTGCCTCAGACTCTGAAGATAAGCAACCTTGAGAGACTCTTAAACCCAGGCACCAATGACCCATATGATAGGTAGCTTATAGGGTGTTCTTGGAATTTAGTAGATCTTAACTTAAATGCTAATGCCACCACTTCAAAGAGTTTGTTTTTAATGTTTTTTTCTTTTTTCTATTTTTTTTATTGGTTGTTCACAACATTACAAAGCTCTTGACATATCATATTTCATACATTAGATTGAAGTGGGTTATGAACTCCCAATTTTACCCCAAATG